CTCCCAAAAACCCATAAAGAGATTGGCATAACTGGGAGCAAACCTGGCTCCCATTGCTGTGCCCTTGATTTTTCTGTAAATTTGTCCTGTGAACGTGAAGTAATTGTGAGTGAGAGTGAACTCAATGCATAAATGAGAAGAAAAGAGATCTGGGATGGATGTAGGGAGTTGTCCTTGGAAAGAAAATCCTGAACTGCCAGCAACCCTTAGTCATCGGAAATACTAAATGTACAATGATGATACATCCACGGAAACCCACCTATAATTATCTTCCCATTGGTATTTGGATAGGATCTCAATCATGTAACCTGAGTCTCTCACATAGGAAGGTAGCTGAACTATCAAACCCTGTAGAAAATAGTCGATGTAATTTCCAAGATTACTTGTGAGGCTATCTATTCCAGAAATAATGGGTCTACCCGGAGGATGAATGGCATCCTTGTGAATTTTAGGGATGTGGTAGAAATGCGATGTCATTGGATATGGTCTAAACAGGAATGACCACTCCTGCTTGGTTAATATTTTATCATGAACAACAACATCTAGCAAATCCTTAAGGGCCAATTTATATGAAGTGACAGGATTTCCAGGGAGATGTTCACATGTGACATTGTCCCCCAGGAGTCGGGCTGCTTCTGCAAGGTATGCTTCCTTGTCTAGGATAACAAGGCCCCCTCCTTTGTCGGCCTGTCTAATGACAATGTCTAAGTTGTTCTTTTAGTGACTCCAAGGATCTCCTGTCAGAGGGGGTCATGCTGACGCATGAGGCTATGTGGTTTCCTTTTGCCCAATGAGGGTGGAACAATGATTTGGGCTTAAAGGGAGTTTGTTGCAGGCTACCTGTGTGCTCATGCCCATGAGTGTCAGCAGACCAGGGGCCAAATGGATTAAGGTCTCCCAATCCTTCTAGTTCACCACACCCCTCGATCCAAAGTTCCTCCAAAATAGCTGGGGTTTCATCTTCAGAATCACTGATAGAAACCACAGGATATTTTCACTGGACTCTTGGCCTATTTCAGAATTGTTATCTTTGATAGAGAAATGTCTTTTAAGGGTAAGGTTTCATGTGAGTCTATTAAGATCTACAAACAGTTCAATAGATTAGGAGGATTTGGAGGTGCAAAATTCAGGCCCCTCCGTAGTAGGCAGTATTCTGATTCGCTGAAAACTGCCTTGGAGAGGCTGAATATTTTAATAGTGCTATGTTGTTAAGTTACTTTCCTCTTTTGGGACTTGACCCCACCTCTCCTTCCTCTACGGGTTCTACGGACTGTTTTCATCTGAGTTGGTCTCCTGAGTTGTGTCCCTTCTCTAAAAAAGGCTGGGAGGTGCTAGGAAGGACCAAGGAGGTGGAAGGCAATGGTCTAGGCTCAGCCCTAATGGGTGCAGTATTTGCCTTCTCAGATGGAGCAGATTCCACTTGTGTGGGTTCTATAGGAAAATCCTCTGGTAAAGTGGAGGTTCTGGTGTGATGAACCTGAGTGAAAGAGGGATCTAACCATTTTCCTCCCTTCTGTTCTCTAGACCTTGTATCTGAATGATATACCTCCCGTGGATTCCATTGCTTTTGCGTGATTGTCTACAATTGCCCCTGTGATTGTTCTGCCCTGTATGGTCGGATATAAATGTGGGATTGGAAGCCTTCTCTGAGGCCAATGCAGGGGATCTCTGTCCTGCAGTGGTATTAGTGCCCCTTCTGTCCTTGTTGGGGATGGGCCTAGGGGTTAGATCCTGACTAGATGAAGTGGGTCTCCCACCATTTGATGGAGTTCTTTTACGTTTCCAATTGTGTTCTCGACCTGCTAGGAAATCTTCTTTATCCCTTTCAAATTTGTTTGCCTTTTTACTAATAAGATCTGCCTCAAACGCCACTGTTAGTTCATTAATGTTATTATCCCATTCGGAAAAGGAAGCTACCTGAATGTATGCTTCTAAATCTTCCTGTGTTTGCAAGAGCTGTGCATGGACCTTGTCCAGATTTCTCTTCCGTTTGATGACTACTTGCATCCATCCTCTACTGCATTCCTTGGACGATTATACCATTCCTCCTTAAGATCATACTCTAGAAAGTCACACGTTTTCGTGATCCTCAGAACCCTGGGAGCCCTCTTGATCTCAATATATTTTTGTAATAATATAATGTTGCACCATTGTACCATTTCGGTTTCAAGAAGATGTTTTAAACTGTAAAACTTAGATATCAGCCGCTCTTCTTCTTGGACTGCAGCACTCTTAGTCTCTATCTGATGGTGAATATCTGCCTTGTTTAATTTCTCATAATCATCAACACTGTTGTAAAATCTTTTTGCAAGGGAGTTCCTCCTGATAAGTCTCTTCATTGGACACCACCATGGTATGGAGGTACTAAATGAGACAGGAGTGTTTGTAGTCTATTGGTAGTTATAAATACTGAGTGTACTCGACCGAGCTGCTGTTATGCCCCACAAGGAAAAAAGAAAAAACACCAATATATTCTAAAAGCAGCGCTCAGATCTTCATACAGCACAGGATCACGGATACCATCACTCTCTAGGTGCAGCCCTCCAAAGATAGGGAAGTCACAATTGACGGTCCCAAGTAGCGGGAATCCTGTAGGGGAAAGTACTAACACGTTTCAGGAGTTGAGCTCCCTTCCTTAGAGTTAAGATGCGATACAGTTGGATGGTCAATAAATATGGGACCAATTAGTAAGGGAGACCCTCCCTCACACCCTCAATGCGAGAAAATAAGGGTGGAGACTGCCAATCGGAGCCCATGTATGTGTATACGTATACTAGTATGCATAATAATGCTCAAGGTGTTCCGATTCTCATCCCTATATGTGGTAGTAATATAATGTTCTGTATGAGACATATAATACATATAATGTAAGGGAGGACATACTGTATCGCTGGGTAGTGTGCATAGAGATGGAGAAAGGGCCATAGACCAGTCATGATGGTGTCCTCTATGTGCAGGAGGATGGTGTGGAATGGGTGTCCCTGAAAGATCCGGAGAGTGGTGAAACGGTAATGCGGTTGCTCGCTGCGCAGAGCGCATGCGCCAGGACTAACATTAGTCGTCCGCCGCTCAACAGAAATGAATCATAGTAAGGACAAAAGTGAGCAAGGGTAGAGGCCCACGGCTGGCAGCTAAGGAATCTCAAGGGAAAAAGGGGAAAGAGAGAAAGATAGATTATGCAACACAAATATGGTGTGCAACATGGATGAAATTGAGATATCAAAAAAAAAAATTATATATATATATATATATATATATCAAAACATTTTTAAAAATGTTTTCCTTTTTTTCTTTGGAAAAGTGTAAATGTTATAACGCCAATATTGGGAGGATGTCTCACTATTGGGACTGGGGAATAATGAAGGGAGTGGGGAGGAGCATCCCATGCCTGGGGGCCAATGACTGACAATCTCAATAAATATTACCTGGAAATAAGAACTTAAAATACATATGACAACAAATGATATATTAATTGATAATGACAATTAATTAATAAATAAAGTGGTGATACTCTGGACAGCATAAGCAAATACATTGGCACATGAAATGTGGAATAACAGTACTGAAGAACATATTTACGTTAAAATGGTGTTAATAAGAAAATGGCAATTCGTGATGACAAATGCCAAAGATGGGCCAATGTGATAATATGAATCTATTCTGAATGATTTTGGCACAAAATATATATATATATATATATATATACAGGGGCGGACTGACAACTCATGGGGCCCCCGGGCAATAGGGGATCATGGGGCCCCTGTATCCTCGCCCACACTCAAACTACACCCAAAAAAGCCTATGGAAGGTTCCAGGGGCATCTCATGGGGCCCCTTACTGACCCCGGGCTCTCGGGCAGTGCCCGAGTTTCCAAATGGTCAGTCCGCCCCTGTATATATATATGGAAAGGAAAGCAGAAGATAAACACAGAGATACAGATGTATAAGGCGGAACAAGGGACTTTGTCTCAGCCATGAGATGGATCATAAGAGGCATCTACTAAGAGGTAAATGACAATAGTAATGATAACAATAATGATAATAGTGATAATGGGACAGGAGGCCCTATATGGGCCTATAGGTATCAGCTGTGATTATAGTACTTATCCTGCGCCTGGACAAAAGGCTACTTATATAAGGGACTGTACATCTAATGCGTCATTGAGACCCTTTGGGACCAGAAAGCTCAAATGGTGATTCCAAAAAGATTCTCTTTTGCAGAGCTTTCGGAACTTTCTGCCTGTGTCAATGTCACCCTGTATGGTCTCTATCCCAAATAATTTGAGTCCCTTAAGGCTCTCACCATGTGCTTCACTAAAGTGATATGACACTGGGTGTTTTTTGTCGAACCCATGTAGTATGTTTTGCTTATGCTCGCCAAATCTGGTTTGAAGTGAGCGTGTGGTGCGACCCACATATAGGAGCCTGCAGGGACAAACTAGACCGTAGATGACAAATTGTGTACCACGGTTTATGGACTGTTTGATCAAATGGGCCTTCCCATCTACTCCAAAGAATTCTTTCTTTCTGTGACACATATATTCACATGCCCCACAGTTGGATACCTCTCATCTGTTGCTGCCCTTTTGATCAAACAAGGTGCTCCACTTGGTTGCGTGACGTTTGTTGGAAAGTTTGATTCTGCTGGGGGCTATTAAGCTTTTCAGATCCCGTGGGTGACGGAAGATCACTTTCGGGTGTGGGGGAATATGTGCAGAAAGGTGCAGGTCTTGCTTTGCGCACAAAGTTGGGAGCATGAAATTGTCCAAAATGTCTTGTTATGCTCACGCCTTAAGAGTTCCCTTCACTGGACCTAAGGGGACAAATCCAACCCCTGAAAAACAACCCCACACCATAATCCCCCTCCACCAAACTTTACACTAGGCACAATGTAGTCAGGCAAGTACCATTCTCCTGGTAAACGCCAAACCCAGACACATCCATCAGATTTCCAGACAGAGAAGTGTGATTCGTCACTCCAGAGAACACGTCTCTACTGCTCTATAGTCCAGTGGTGGAGTGCTGTTCACCACTGCATCCAACGCTTTGTATTCCACTTGGTGATGTAAGGCTTGGACACAGCTGCTCGGCCATGGAAATCCATTCTATGACACTGTGCAGTGTTGTTGTGCTGATCTGAAGGCCACATGAAGTTTGGAGGTCTTTAGCTATTGATTCTGCAGACAGTTGGCGACTTCTGCGCACTGTGTGCTTCAGCATGCGCTGACCCCGCTCTGTCATTTTACGTGGCCTACCACTTTGTGGCTGACTTGCTGTTGTTCCCAGTTGCTTCCACTTTGTTATAATACCTCTTACAGTTGACCACGGAATATTTAGTAGCAAGGAAATTTCACAAATGGACTTATTGCACAGGTGGCAACCTATCACGGTACCATGCTTAAATTCACTGAGCTCCAGTGATCGATCCATTCTTTCACAAATGTTTGTAGAATCAGTCTGCATGACTAGGTGCTTGATTTTATACACCTGTGGCCATGAAGGTGATTTCTAACACTTGATCCAGTGGTCAATGATTTGGAGGGGTGTTCCAATACTTTTGGCAATATAGTGTATAAATATATATATATATATATATATATATATATATATACACAGAGAGAGAGAGAGAGATACTATAGGTGAAGTGCACAACGGTGATCAATCAATCAAAAATGTGTTTTTCTTTAATGTATATACAGTGGGGCAAAAAAGTATTTAGTCAGCCACCAATTGTGCAAGTTCTGCCACTTAAAAAGATGAGAGAGGCCTGTAATTGGCATCATAGGTAGACCTCCACTATGAGAGACAAAATGAGAAAAAAAATCCAGACAATCACATTGGCTGATTTGGAAAGAATTTATTTGCAAATTATGGTGGAAAATAAATATTTGGTCACCTACAAACAAGCAAGATTTCTGGCTCTCACAGACCTGTACCTTCTTCTTTAAGAGGCTCCTCTGTCCTGCACTCATTACCTGTATCAATGGCACCTGTTTGAACTTGTTATCAGTATAAAAGACACCTGTCCACAACCTCAAACAGTCACACTCCAAACTCCACTATGGTGAAGATCAAAGAGCTGTCGAAGGACACCAGAAACAAAATTGTAGACCCGCACCAGGCTGGGAAGACTGAATCTGCAATAGGCAAGCAGCTTGGTGTGAACAAATCAACCGTGGGAGCAATAATTAGAAAATGGAAGACATACAAGACCACTGATAATCTCCCTCGATCTGGGGCTCCACGCGAGATCTCACCCCGTGGGGTCAAAATGATCTCAAGAACGGTGAGCAAAAATCCCAGGACCACACGGGGGGACCTAGTGAATGACCTGCAGAGAGCTGGGACCAACGTAACAAAGGCTACCATCAGTAACACACTACGCCGCCAGGGACTCAGATCCTGCAGTGCCAGACGTGTCCCCCTGCTTAAGCCAGTACATGTCCGGGCCCGTCTGACGTTTGCTAGAGAGCATTTGGATGATCCAGAAGAGGATTGGGAGAATGTCATATAGTCAGATAAAACCAAAATAGAACTGTTTGGTAGAAACACAACTCGTCGTGTTTGGAGGAGAGAGAATGCTGAGTTGCATCCAAAGAACAACATACCTACTGTGAAGCATGGGGGTAGCAACATAATGCTTTGGGGCTGTTTCTCCGCAAAGGGACCAGGACGACTGATCCATGTACAGGACAGAATGAATGGGGCCATGTATCATGAGATTTTGAGTGCAAACCTCCTTCCATCAGCAAGGGCATTGAAGATGAAACGTGGCTGGGTCTTCCAACATGACAATGATCCCAAACATACCGCCCGGGCAACGAAGGAGTGGCTTCATAAGAAGCATTTCAAGGTCCTGGAGTGGCCTAGCCAGTCTCCAGATCTCAACCCCATAGAAAACCTTTGGAGGGAGTTGAAAGTCCATGCTGCCCAGCGACAGCCCCAAAACATCACTGCTCTAGAGGAGATCTGCATGGAGGATGGGCCAACATACCAGCAACAGTGTGTGCCAACCTTGTGAAGACTTACAGGAAACGTTTGACCTCTGTCATTGCCAACAAAGGATATATAACAAAGTATTGAGATGAACTTTTCATATTGACCAAATACTTATTTTCCACCATAATTTGCAAATAAATTCTTTCCAAATCAGCCAATGTGATTGTCTGGATTTTACAGGCCTCTCTCATCTTTTTAAGTGGGAGAACTTGCACAATTGGTGGCTGACTAAATACTTTTTTGCTTCACTGTATGTGCTATTTATAATAGGTACTTATGTCTACATTCCACGTCTTTGATATGGGGATGTTTCTTCTTGACAGAATTTTCACTCTCAAACAGCCACATTTATTAGACGTGAATGTGTATCCAATTTGTGGTTAATTATATAATTGATTCCATAGTCTGCATAAATTGATCATAGTGGTATTTCTCACTTCAATATGTGTTCTGATCTGAAGAAGGGCGTTAACATAATAGCCTAAAACTGTTCAATGAAAACTATTATGTATGGTTTTGTCCATTTTTGATCACTCTTTTGTATGGTGATTTTTCTACATTAAAAGTTATTTTATGTGCAGCAATCCATATATATATATATATATATATATATATATATATTTTTTTTTTTTTATATATATATATATATATATATATATATATATATATATATATATACACACACACTGTGAGTATTCTTTAATACCCCATATTTACACTAGTTTCCAAAAAGAAGAACAAACAATCCATCATTCAAGCACATGATCTAGACCTGGAATTTTACTCAAACTTGTGAACAACCAATCATTTTTAGAGTCCCATTTTTGTTTATGGCTCCTCCGTATCAAACAAAATCTCTTACACCAAGGATGGAGTACCATGGTGTTAAGTTCTTTTCCCATCCCAGATAGGGGTTTGATGGAAAGACCAATTAGATTGGTTTGAGGATTAGGGACAGTGCCAAATGGGGGAGTTTTGATGACATTGGGCTTTACCCATAATTTAACTACATCTAATTTTGCACTCTCCATTTTTAGTAAATCAACCCCATTGCATTTTGAAAGTGCAAGTCTTAAAGAGTTATTAAACCCAGGACCCTAAATTCACTCTGTCTGGTCTGCCACTGTACACACTACAAAGAAATGCAATTATTTCAGTAAATATAAACTGCTAAATACCTTCTTTATTCAGTAGTTTGAGTAGTCTTGTGACTTCTATTAGTGTTAGAGCACTGGTTAAAGCTTGCAGGAGGAGTTTTCCTTGTACTCTTGGAGAATGCAGAACCCCTGACCTCTGTCTGGACAGTGCTGATTGGCCCTGTGCTGATCACATGCACTCTCCCAAGAAAAAAAAGCCCCTCTAGCACTACACACCAAACTAAGCATGTGCAGAGTGTCTCTACATGATATGTCTTATCAGGAGATAAGAGGGGGACACTGGAAGAAGGGGAGGATCAGAGAAGTCAGGGTCAAACAGCATTCTTACCCAATGCAGAGGATTAAACCCTTAGGTTTCATGGGGAGTATATCAAGAATGCTTTACTGGTTATATAGACTGATTTTACTGTTGTGGGTTTAGTAACACTTTAAAAGCAGAAAGGATCCTTGTACAGCATAGTAATTAACAATAGTATAATCAATGATGGCCACAGGTACAGAACACTTGCAGTATTGGTATAGCAACACTTGCAATAAGGGCACAAAAATTACACTTGAAGCAATAGGCACAGCAACTCTTGCAGAACAGATGCAATTCATTTTCAGTAACAGGCACTATAACATTTTCCAGTAGAGTGCTGGTACAGTCCTTATGGAACAGGTGTCACTAACATTGTAGGTAAGCTGCCTAGGACCAGAATTCCCTGGTGCTAATACATAGCTTTAGAGCAGTATATCTTCAGGCTCAGTAGTTACAGTACAGGCATTGCTACTTTACCAGGACCGCATCTGCTGGAGGGATTGCTTACTGGCGGGGTGGACAGCACTGGAGAAGACAGAAAGGCCTACAGTGGCAACTCTGGAAACTGGTATCCTGAGGGTGTATAGTGGTAGCCCTACACTTGCCTCCCTAGCACTGGTACCTTTCCTCATGTTCAAGTCCTCTACCTGTCAAAGTAAGTTCCTGTCCCTACACTATCCACTCACAAGATGTGCACTAAACCCAGCAGGGCACTGCTATTTATTAGAATTGCCACAACCAAGATGGCCATGGAAGGATACTGGGGGTTGCAGTGTCCAACTTTACAGCTGCTCTCTTGGAGATACCTATGGAGGCTGCAGGGGAAGACCATTCCCCTAAGACTCCACTTCCATCCCCAAAGTGGCAAGGTCCTGCTGAGTGGAGTATAATCTATACCTGCCAACAAGGGTCATGGAATTATTCTGATCTCATCTCTGGATTCTCCATTTTGTGGGTATGTGCTGTTGCCTTTGGCTGTGCTGGGGATTCTATGTACCTGCAGCTGTATCTTTTTGAAGCACTTCTGGAGAGAAAGAGCACTTTTATGAGAGATGACCCTCATCTTTAACATTTCTTGGGCTGTGTATCAATGTTTCTGTCACTACAGCAGAAGGAAACTTTCTTTTAAATCAAGGTTATGTGTTCCACTTTAAATTTGAGAATTCCATTGTTATTTTACATGCTACAGTATCTAGCGTTGGTTCTCTTAAACCTAAAATTGTGGCAAGGTGCTTTCTCTTCATTCCCTGTTTGATAAATGTATTTACAAATTTTGGAAAACCCCAAATAAGCAATTGCTTGTCCCTAAAAAGTTTGCTCTATCTTTTTCCAGAAGATTTTGTCAAGAAAATGGTTTACTCCTCCCAATGCTACTCTCTAGTGTCACTCCTTAACAAAACAATTACCACCCCTATCTGAGAGTCTCCATCCTTTAAGGATTCTACTGACAAGAAGTTGGAAGTACAGTATGTTCTCATTCTATCTAATCCATAGCCGAACTGGTTCTTCAATTTTTGCTAGCCACTGTTCTTATTTCCCAGACTTTACTACTTGGCCTAAATTGCTATGTAGGGATTAGGTGACTGCTGGTGTTATTATTATTATTATTATTATACAGTATTTATAAAGCGCCAATAGTTCACTCAGCGCTGTACATTACAAAGGGGGACAGAACATGTGACAGAACAATACCAATACAATGCAAAACATGAGGGGATCGAGGGCCCTGCTCTTTCGAGCTTACAATCTAGAAGGGATGGGATAGTGGTACAGGAGGAGATAGCTGTGGGGGATGGAGTGGTAGGAAGAGTGGAGGAGGTCAGTCAAGTTAGCAGGGGGTAGGCTTCCCTGAAGAGATGGGTTTTCAGGGTGCGCCTAAAGGAGAGGAGAGTAGGTGATAATCTGATGGG